TCATGATATGTGTCCTCTAATTATTAAAGTTTTTTTTAAAAAGTGACAAACACGAGAAATAAAGCACATAACAGATTCCATCTATTAATGAAGGTTATAGTTTGGTAGAGATACCAATCTTCATCTTAGTTTCCATATAGATACCATATTTATGAATGTTAGAGTTTCATAAAGATAGTATCTTTTTAGAAACTCCAATGATATAAACCACCTGCATACCATCTTTATGATTGTTAGGATTTCATAAATATGATATCTGTATAGAGCCTCCATTATTAATACCACCTATTTGTCCTAAAAAATTTCAAATGAGATTGAACTATTTACCAATTTTCAACTTCAACAGCTCCTCCACCATTAAAGCCTTAGATTTCTTTTTCTCTTTGACATATTAGTTGAGCTTAAGTTGTGTACACTTAGGATTTGTGAAGAAGAAACCCTTAGAGTTAACCTTAGGATTTGTGATAAAGAAGAGATAACCTTAGAGTTTATATTTTTGATGTAAAGTATAATGGAAGAAGAGAAGGAAAGAAAGAAGATGGTGACTGTCACTATAAGGTAACACAATTTCCCACATTTTAGCTATGCCCATAATTTCCCGTCTTTTTGCTTGCAATATACATTTTGTCTTATTCAGTTTAGAGGTTACACCAGAGAATTTTAGAGGATATAAAGTTCTGTATGTTTTTGTCACAACATTTAATGATGAGAGATAAACTCACCTACCACACAAACAAACCTTATTTGATAGTGACTACTCTGAAATAGTACAGCAGACTTATACTAACCTTCATGCAGGTTACATATGGCTATTGGTTTTGTATAAATATTACGATAAAAACATTTTGTTATCTCTAAGGGTTTTCTAACGTTGCAACCAACTAATATGGCATAGCTTTCTTTTATGTAGTTGGTTGCAACGTTCTGCTTTGATCTGATTAAGTCCCTAATGTCATCAAATAACAACATTTGTTTACTAATTTATTAAAACCTATTCATCTTTAAAAAAATAATAATAATAATTAAAAA